GTGGTGGGTAGGTGCTTCGGCCGGCTCGGTGGGGAGGTGGTGGGTAGGTGCTTTGGCCGGCCGGTGGGTATGTGGTGGGTAGGTGCTTTGGCCGGCTCGGTGGGAAGGTGCTTCGGCCGGCTCGGTGGGGAGATGGTGGGTAGGTGCTTTGGCTGGCCGGTGGGTAGGTGCTTTGGCCGGCTCGGTGGGGATGCGGTGGGTAGGTGCTTTGGCCGGCTCGGTGGGGATGTGGTGGGAAGGTGCTTCGGCCAGCTCAGTGGGGAGGTGCTTCGGCTGGCTCGGTTGGGAGGTGGTGGGTAGGTGCTTCGGCCGGGTCGGTGGGGTGGTGCTTCGGCCAGCTCGTTGGGGACGTGATGGGTTTGTGCTCCGGCTGGCTCGGTGGGGAGGTGCTTCGGCCGGCTCGGTGGGGAGGTGGTGGGTAGGTGCTTCGGCCAGCTCGGTGGGGAGGTGGTGGGTAGGTGCTTCGGCCAGCTCGGTGGCGAGGTGGTGGGTTGGTGCTTTGCTCGGTGGCGAGGTGGTGGGTTGGTGCTTCGGCCGGCTCGGTGGGGAGCTGGTGGGTAGGTACTTCGGCCGGCTCGGTGGGGAGGTGGTGGGTAGGTTCTTCGGCCGGCTCGAAGGGAAGGTGGTGGTTAGGTGCTTCGGCCGGCTCGGTTGGGAGGTGGTGGGGAGGTGCTTCAGCCGGCTCTGTGGGGAGGTGGTGGGTAGGTGCTTTGGCCGGCTTGGTGGGGATGTGGTGGGTAGGTGCTTCCGCTGGCTCGGTGGGGAGGTGGTGGGTAGGTGCTTCCGCCGGCGTGGTGGGGAGGTGGTCGGTAGGTGCTTCGGCGGGCTCGGTGGGGAGGTGGTGGGTAGAGACTTTGGCCGGCTCGGTGGGGAGGTGGTGGGTAGGCGCTTCGGCCGGGTCGGTGGGGAGCTGCTTCGGCAGGCTCGGTGGGGAGGTGGTGGGTAGGTGCTTCGGCCGGCTCACCGGGTCGGTGGGGTGGTGCTTCGGCCAGCTCGTTGGGGACGTGATGGGTATGTGCTCCGGCTGGCCTGGTGGGGAGGTGCTTCGGCCGGCTCGGTGGGGAGGTGGTGGGTAGGTGCTTCAGCCAGCTCGGTGGGGAGGTGGTGGGTAGGTGCTTTGGCCAGCTCGATGGCGAGGTGGTGGGTTGGTGTTGTGGCCGGCTCGGTGGCGAGGTGGTGGGTTGGTGCTTTGGCCGGCTCGGTGGCGAGGTGGTGGGTTGGTGCTTCGGCCGGCTCGGTGGGGAGCTGGTGGGTAGGTACTTCGGCCGGCTCGGTGGGGAGGTGGTGGGCAGGTTCTTCGGCCGGCTCGAAGGGAAGGTGGTGGTTAGGTGCTTCGGCCGGCTCGGTTGGGAGGTGGTGGGGAGGTGCTTCAGCCGGCTGTGTGGGGAGGTGGTGGGTAGGTGCTTTGGCCGGCTTGGTGGGGATGTGGTGGGTAGGTTCTTCCGCAGGCTCGGTGGGGAGGTGGTGGG